TGCTGTTTGATCAGAGGTGTTTACAAATAACTGAAATGGTCTCTCCAAGTCTGGGAGACTGAGTACAGGGGCTTGAATTCCAGCATGTCTGACCTTTTCTAAACTTTTGTCATCCTCCTCTGCCCATTTCAGGCGATTACTGGTAAATTTTTATATAGAAATTTCACTTTCTCACTAAATCCCTCTATTCATTGATGACAGTATCCCAGCAGTCCCAACATTTTCCTCACTTCTTTTTTAGTCTTTGGAGGTCCCAGGCTTAGTTATCCAAACACTCTGTTAGGATCCAATTTCTTTTTCCCTTTACTTAACCAATGACCTAAATATTCTACTTCTGCTTCTGTGAATTCTAATTTAGTTTTGCATGCCTTCAAACCCTGATGTCCTAAAAAGTTTAAAAGTCATATAGACCCATTTCTAGTACATTTCTGGTCTTTTTTGTGCTATTAATAGATCATCTACATATTGTAACCATTTCACCCCTTCTGGTAGCTCAAAAGACTGCATTAATTCTTCTAGGGCTGCCCAAAGACATTGGGGGAGTCTGTAAAGCCCTGAGGCAATAGTGTCCAACGCAGTTGTTGTTTCCTGCCCTTATCAGGATATTCCCATCCAAAGGCAAAGCAATCTCTGCTACTTTCCTCTAACGGGCATGCCCAGAAGGCATCTTTTAGATCTATTACACTATACCAAGTGTAGCCAGGGGACAGCTGACTTAAGAGAGTGTAAGGGTTTGCTCCTATAGGAAATTTGATGACAGTTCGCTGATTTATAGCCCTCAAATCCTGTACCAATCTGTAATTCCCGTCTGTCTTTTTGACAGGCAGAATAAGAGGATTATGTGGGGACATAGATGGTTCTGAAATCTCTTGTTGCAAAAGGTTTTCTGTGACAGGCTGAAGGCCCGGGTTCCCTTTTAATGATATTGGATATTGTCAAACTCGGATTGGCAAATCAGGATCAGTGATTTTCACTTTGATGGGTTTCATTTTTAACTTTCCTATTTCCCCAGGGGTGTACCACACCTCAGCACATATTTGTTCCTCATCTTTTTGGTTAGGGCATAAATTTTAAGTTGCCCTTGGGATACTTCAATTTTCAAATCCAATGCTATTATTAAATCCTTCCCCAATAAATTATTTTTTGTCTCTGACAGTAACAGCAGATCATTTAATCGAATTTTACTTTGGGTCTCAATTTATACATTTTTAATAACAAGGATCCAAAACGGCTTACCCGGCGCTTTCTTAAGGGGGTCCCAGATGGTTCTCAGAGGGCTCCGGGGGATCGCAGCGGGGATCCAGAGGGATCCAGAGGAATTCTGTGGAATTCCCCGACCTCCCCTTCCCCCACGCGCTCCGTCGGTCTCTTTCGTTTCCGCGTCCCAACCTGAGAGGCCGGGATCTACCCGGCGACCGGTGACGTCTCTCAGATGTCGGGCTGCCATTGGCGGACAGGAAATATCGGCGCCAATGGCGAAGCCGGAGGCTGCTCTGAGGGCGGGGTCAGTGCTGGGGGCGGGGCCAGTTCTGGGTACGGGCCCGCAGCGGAGCAGCGCGATGCCTCCAGAGCTGGGTCTGCTCTTGGGGCTCCTGGAGCTCCTCTGGGATCCGGGGGGCGCGCCGAAAGGTAAGCGGGACCTCTGAAATCGCGACCACTCTGTACACCCCTCCCACCGGTATCCCCATTTTGGGTCCTGTGACCCCCCCATCCCATTCCCCAGCACCAGGACCCCCCCTGTACTCCCTCATCTGGCACCGGGACCCCGCTGAAATTCCATTCCTGAGGATCAGGATCCCTTTGAACCCCGAATCGCGGACCGGGAACCCCCCTGAACTTCCCATATCGGGCACCGGGACCCCCCAAA